CCTCGCTAGGGCCACTTTCGGGGTGGGGGGTTGGATGATTTCTTGGGTACCTCCTGTTGGGCTGGGGCATGTGGACAGCTCCAGTTCATACCGGAAGGTCTGTCTGGCATCTCCTCAAGTTGCCCAAGCTCAGCAGAAGCCTCCAGTCCCTAAACACAGATCCGGCTAATTCTTTATGCTCTGCTTCTCTGCTTTCTGGCATCGTCAGGATGACCGGGCGCCCTGTCTCCCACCCAGGCTGACTCAATTCTGCCTCATGGTGTGGGCTGGGTTCCATCTGCAAGCCTGGCTCTTTGGAGGGTGAAGGGTGTGATTTCATGCTGGGGGCCGGGGCTCTAGCGGGTGATGGGGCAGGTACTCCTGGCTCAAGGATTCTCCCAGAGGTTGGTGTAGACTCCTCTACCTGTGCAAGGCCTCAGGCTGGGCAAGTGGGCAGGAAAGCAACAAGCTGCAGGTGCCTGGTGGCCATCAGTCCTGAGGACAGGGCTGGGTCATTCCGTCTCCCCTTCCACCCTGGCTTCCTGGCTCAGTCTCCTTCCCTTCTCCCTCTGGCCCATAGGTCTCCTTCCTCTGTTTCCATTCCCAGCCAGTCCAACACATGCAGAGGCGAGCTCTCATTTCCTCTGTACTGGCTACTAGTTGATGTGTATGTCTCCGTCAGTGATCTGAAGTTGAGGGTGCTTTCCTAGGAGATGCCTGGTGTCTCTTAGCCAACAGCCCCAGAGTATGACCTACTATCAAGGCTAGAAATGAGGGCTGCTCCCTGCTGTGTCCCTGACTGACAGCTGAGCTCCTGTGGGAATTTCAAGAGAGGAAGCAGCTTTTGGGTCATCAGAACCCTTGGGTGGCAGAAGGAGCAACCTTCCATCTGAGGTTCAGAAAGGCCCAGTTTCACAGCGTCCGGCCCCTCCCCCATACTCCCTCCCCTTCCAACTCTCTGCTTCCCCAGTACGAAAACTGTAAATCTGTTTTATTTATTTCAATCAATCCTTGCTAGTGTGCCCCTCAGGGCAAAGGCAGCCATGGTAACCCTGCCAACTCATGCCTTAAAAATTCATTGTGTTTAATGCAGTTGATGCGTCTGATACACTTATAAGTTTCTTAGGGGTGTGGGGGTGGGAGGAGGAGGAAGAACAGGAGGCCACATGAGGGTTTGCTTTTCTGAGTCTTGCGGGGAGTTAGTGGAAAGGGAACGACAAACGATGGGGACAAGGTGAGGAAGAAAGGGGCCTTTTGTCCTCTAAGATGTCTGTGCCCCTGTCCAGGAGAAGCTCCTGCCAGGCTGAGATGCTTGGTGGGCTCATCTAGAGGCTTCCAGGGAAAGACTCATCGGGGCAGAGAATCAGGTGGGCTCCCTGAGGCAGCCAGGCCTCACTCCAGGTTTAGGGTTTGCTCTAGGGATTGAGCCGAGAGCAAGGGAGAACAGGAGAGGCGATTTTTGCTTCCTCTGCTCCCCAGCCAGCCCTGCATGGCCAGGGCTCCACCTTTTCCCCAGGACGGAAATCATCTTGTGCCTGGCCTGGGTCTTGCTGGGCTTTATGTTCCATGTGCTCTCATCACCAGGCCTGGCCTGTAACCCACTGCCCATCCACTCTAGCACCCCCTCCTTCTTGGGGAGCCCCAGCCCCTCCTGCTCCCAGGTGGCTAGTTCCCACTGTGCCTTCCTAAAGCTGTGCCTGGCCCCTCAAGTTCCAGACCTGCCCCTTCTGGGCCTACAGCAGTGATGGCAAACTTCTGAGAAATATGTGCCCAAACTGCACCCAAAACCCACTTATTTCCTGCGAAGTGTCAACACTGCAATTACACCTGAATACTGAGATTTTAGAAGGAACAACTCACACATTAACATCTTTTGTATTACAAGAAAAACAAATCACACATGCTATAGGTTCACCACCACTGGCCTAGACCTTGATCTTCCCATGGCCCAAGCCTGGGGCCCTGTGGGAGTGGGGAGATGGACACGCATGGAACCAAACGTCAGTGGCCAGGAAGGGCCACAGTTGCTTGGTCACCTTAGTTGTGGAGTTTGGCGGCACATGGAGCTGCACACTAAGGGGCCAAGGGAGGCAAGTGAATTTTGAATGGGTTACTGGGCCTCTTGTGAGCTGTCTGGTTTGGGCTGGTACACTTTCAGAAGTGTGAAAGGAAATCAGAAGGTGTCTGACACAATGAGGTCTGGGTTTGTGTCTCAGAAAAGAGGCTGCATATGGAGATACCCCAGAATGTGGCCGGGGTTCAACCCTTGTGCTGGAGGCTCTTGGACTGGCTGAACTGGGAAGACTGGGGACTCAGTTGAGATGGGTTCTGGCACTGGAGGAAGGGACAGCAGAGGCAGGACAAGGGTGGTGAACAAACAGTGCATGTGGCAGGAGCAGGGTGGGTCTGGCCCCGGACTGGAGGCCATCACAGTCCAGACTGAAGCCCTTGGAATGGAGGCCCACTGCCTGAGTGCTTCAGTTTCATCTTCTGAATCCTCAGAGCAAACGAAAACAAAGGGACAGGTTGCTAAAGGAAATCCTGTTGTCTCTATGACAATCGACTCCAAGAAGTGCTAGGATCCACCCAAGCCCTGAATCACCGCTTCCTTCCTAATAGCGGCCATAGATAACAGACCATCAGGCATGTCCTGTACGTAGAATCCTTGCAACACAGAACAGGTGGTGCTGAAGCCCAGGCCCTTTCTAAGACAATGCAAAAGCAGCCCACATCAGAGGCCTTGTTTAGGTCCCTGTCACGCTGCCCCAGCAGCCGACTTCTCAGCAGCTGCCTGGCCATATACCTACTCGCAGGCTCTAGGGCCCCTCTGCTGGACTCACCTCATGACTTGGGCATACTTTTCTACGAAGACATCATTGGAGCTGTCTTTTTTTGCAGGGCTGGGGATTGGACCTAGGACCTTGTGCAAATGCTCTACCACTGCACTACCCCCAGCCCTTGCACAAGGGCCTTCTGACCCCCCCCCCCGCCGAGCCTGAGTTTCTCCAGAAGCTCCCTGTGGCTCCAAGGCAGCATATTTACAAACTAGCTCCTTCCACCCCACTCTCCAGCTGAGGCCACTTCTGTGGGTGGCAGACATTGACCATCTCTGGCCAGGACAATGCTGGCCTGTGGTCCACACTCCACAGGGACAGAAGGGAAGCAGGGTTTGGAAACTGCATCCTCAACTCACAGCCAGGACCCAAACAGACACGGGGAGAGGGTCACAGGGGTGGCTCCCAACAGCAGGTTCCCAGAAACCTCTCAGGGGCAGTAGCTCCCAAGTGTGGGTCTCAGGCCAGCGGCTGCCTGAGGTCCAGGGTGGGGCATTTTAATATAATGATTTCTGGTGCCCAGGGGGACGTGGTCAAAGCTGATGCTCTGACTCCAGGGCCGATACTGCCAGGGAAACTGCACCCCTGAGCCCTGACTGCCCTGGAGTCTCCTTGGTGACCATGAGAGAACCACTGATGTAACCTCTCCCTCCCTTTGAAGCCCTTTGGGCTATGGCTCGAAGCAGGCTTTCCTCTGGAGGCCGTGCTGAGCCTGTGAAGAGCTTGGCACAGCCTGCCACGCTGCTTCTTGCCCCCAGACCTGCCTACCCTCCGAGTCCCTGCCATCTTCTAGCCAGGCCTATGTGCTTCACACCTCCTCACAGACAGGAAGAAACTGAAGCCCAGGTCTAAGGCCACACTGCCAGGGACACAATGGGTCAGAGCTCAGGTGCTGACCCAGAGTTCATGTCCCCTTTAGGCCAGACGGTCTCACATGGTGTGGCACCTGCAGAAGGACACAGAGCTCCACACCCAGGCCCAGTCTCTCTTCCCACCCATCCAGGGGCTACCCACCATGGTGTGCGAAGGCCCAGGGCAGAGATCCCCTGCGTCCTGGCATGTGACCTCATTCTGGCTCCTCTGAGGTGGAGTCTATCTTGGGCCAGGGAAGGGAGAGGCACCCCTGTGTCTCTGCCACTTCCCTTTACACTATGGCATGGCCTTTTGGGAAACAGGGTGGGTGAGTAATAGCCCTGCCTAGAGTCGCCTGGTGGGGCTGCTGTTTCTACCCACTGGAGTACCCCCCAGACCCAAATGTCTTCTTGTTACTACCGCTGTTCATATTTTCCTCTACTTCATCCAATTATTCCCAAATTTGTCACTTTGTTCCAGTCCGAGGGTGCACTCCTCCACTGTTTACACAACTACAAACATTTACAGATGGCCAGCGCTCCTTCTACCTTAGTCAGCATGGCGATGTGGGACGCCCCTGCCCCTCTGTCCTGACAGCGTGAGCCTAACTTGGGTGAGCAGCCCCAACATGCAGTGAGTCACGCCCTGAAGTGAGAATGCTTCCCTCTCCCAAACTATTTCCTGAAGTGGGCTGTCCTTGTGGCTGTGGGACCCGGTAATGTCGGGTATCCACTGAGAGCTCACATTCCTGAGACAATCTTCCTCCAGAGGACTTAGTGTGCTCGGAGGGTGTTCCAACCAGGGGCTGCCATTTTGATTTCTGTTGGTACCTCTGGTTGCATCAGTGTCCTCAGCCACCAGGACTGCACACTAACCTTCTTGAACTAGGGGATCCCCAAGCCACAAATGGCGCCCAAGCCCAACTGTATGCTAGTCACCTAAGGACTACATGGAGAAACCTCCTCCTTCAGAGGTGAGCGCTATGCATTTTTCAGCTTCCCGAGGCGGCCTCAGGCCTGCTGCCCCAAACTGCCTCACCAGGGGCGAGGGGTGTGGGTGGCGGTGATGCCAGGCTGAGTGGAAACGGAAGGGGTTTACCAGCAGTTTCAGAGATACGTAGCCACAGAGCTGGGGCTCAGCCAAGCTTGGGGATCCAGGCAGAGGCCCCAGGTGACTGTCTTCTCACCGCTCTGCTTTCACCTCCTCAGACCCTGCACCCAGGTTCTGCCCGGCGTTTCACCCTCCACTCCCCTGCTGGTCTCTGCCCACCACGCACACCCCTCACCTCCTCCTCCTCACACACCAAAGGAAAAAGAGACCCACTCTTAGATGAGACCTGTGCCTGCCCGGGACCCTCCCTGGCGCCCTGACCTTTGGCGCCAGCTTCCTCTGGCAGCCTCGTGACTGGTCTCACCTCCCTGCGGCCTCAGCCTCCCTGGGGAGGAGGCTCAGCTCTCCAGCTGCTGTTTGGCATCTGCCAGTCCTGCCTTTCTAGCTGTGTGTGACATCTATAGATGATGACAGCCCCCCCAATTAGCAGCTAAAGTGACCAGGGCCTTTCTGGTCCTCACATCTTTAGTCTGAGGGTTTTGTGATATTTTATGAACTGAGCTGGTTTTCGGTAGCTCTTCACAAGTGCCCACTTAAAGGGCACCGAGATACACGGCTGAAAACAGAAGGGGAAGTTAGACACTAATCCTCACTACTGGCGACAAAAGAGCAGACATCAGAGCGGCCGCACTGCACAGCCTTCTGCAACACAGGGCTGGGAGGTGTGGGGCAGAGCCACAGCAGGTGTGGGGGCACAAAGGCAGCATGAAGGGAACAGCTTCAGGTATTCACGGCCAAATAGGGAGGTCTCTTATTTTCACCCTCCCCCACTGCCTGCCAGGGGGCTAGAAAAATTCCTTTTGTGATCAGTCATTTTCAGGGAATTTTAAGATGCATGAAACAGGCTTTTCATCCAAATGTTCCTTGGCAGCCCAGGAAATCTTCACCGGATTAAATGTGTGAGAATGAGAATGAACCCCAGATGTGAGGCATCCTTGGAAATCACCCTGGGGGATGAGTCCCAGGACTCAGTCCCAGACCAGGATCGCCACCCCCCTAACCCCCGGCAGGGCTTGTCCTTGGCAGGAGAGACCGCTTCCCTGCACCCCAGGACCATGCCATTGGCCCCTGGAGCACAGAAACCAGGTGGCCACATATAGAGAAGGATGGGGAGGGGGCCTGTGCGCCTGAGCTACCGTACTCTGGCCCGGAAAGTAGAGGGCAGTGTCTGACTTGGAGATGTGTCTTGTCCAGGGAGGGTGAGGGGGAGCCAAGGCAGGCTGCGGGCCGATCCGAGTCTGGGTCACTGCTAGGGACACAGCCACACCAGGCCCTGTGTTTACAGATGTGCAGAAAAGGTTCTGGAGGGAAATTCATGAAGCTGAGGAGGCTCGTTCTGGAGGAGGAAGTGGTGGTAGTCTTCTGCACACTACACTATACTCTGCATTATTCCCATTTTACATGGTTATTTCTGTTTTATATGGTTTCAGTATTTTTAAACCATGCCACGAAAGTATGCAGAATCCTATACATCCGAGGTCATCTGGACGCCCTCACGGGCACTGACAGTGGCACAGCCCGGAGCAGGGCTGGGGGGAGGTGGCGCCTCCCCAGCAGGAGGTGGGGCTCTGCCAGTGGTGTGGTGGCACAGCTCCCCTCTCCCGAGAGAGGGGCTGCTGCAGATTTAACAATGGAAACATGCATTTTACAAATGAGAGGATCAACAGCCGGGAAATGGTATTTTTAGCTACTGTGGCTCTTTGCTTCAAAGGCGTATGTTTCATCTAAAACCAGGCAAACCTCCTACAAAGTCTGCCTGTTTGCAAGGAGTGATTAGCATAACACGAGTAGGAAAAAAAGGCCTGGCTCCACTCTGAGGCAGGAGTGCCTACTACAGGGGGAGGCTTTCTCCTGAAATAGAAGTGCCAGATGAGAGAAGTCTTATCAATGGTGACGAAGCCCCCGTTCACTTGGAGCAGAAGTGCTGCCTTGCACTAATGGCCTGGCTATTATGGGTGCGATGTTGCCACTAGCAGAGTGAGATCTGGGAGTGTAAACAAAACCAGGGCTCTGCCCTTGTGGGTGCTCTTTAAATATCACTTGTGCTTCATGTAATTGTCTTCTTCCAATTTTAAGTACAAAGGGTTTTGGGGTTGTCTACATACATGTCTTTTCTGAGGGGCAGGGCAAAGCCAGTCAAGGTGAACAAGAGGGATGGAGGGCAGGTGGGGACAATCATAGCACAAGGTCTCAGGTGGTGACGATGTCCCCCTCCAAGGCCACACTGCTGCCCATTGGATGGCAGTGCCCCTGGCCACTCCCACCCGCCTGGCCTCTCTTCTCCCAGCTGTGTGCTTGGCCTGCACCCTCAATGGCTCTTTTCCTGCCTGGACAGAAACCCATCCCTGGCTCTGGAAGAGGACCCTGGATCGTGAAGACAGCCTGGGGCTCTCCTAACACCACAAGCAAGGCTGTGACCTTCCAGAGCGAGAGCGGTCACTACAGATATGCATCTCTGGGGCAGCACTGAAGACAGATAACACCTGGCAGCTGCTCCAGGCCTCTGGCTGTCACACCAGGCCCAGGGCCCCATCTGGATGGGAGGGAGACCTGGGGCTGTGGGGGTGGGGAGCAGAAAGTGGCAGTGGGTGTGCCATCTATTTTAGGCATCACCAGCAGAATGAGAAGACTCCAGGCCCAGGCATTTCTCCATCACCTCTCACCCTTGGGGTTCCCCCCAGGGGAAAGAGCACAGATAGGTTTTGCAGCAGAGGGTCAGGGGATGGAAATGCTTGCAGATGGGAAACACAGCTGAAGACCTCAGAAAGCAATTACCATGCTACTGGGGGGCCTGGGAGAAGCAGAAGGAGCCAGATTGGGCAGTTGCTCAGGCTTCAAGGGCAGGAAGGAAGGCAGGAAGGAAGGGAATTCCAGGACTCTGCCAACTGTTAGAGCCGGGGCTCCCAACAGAGGTGGACGGGGGTCTCCTTCTGGACAGGGGAGGCAAGACTTCATCCATCATGGAGAGAGGGGCTCAGCCCAGGTGGGAAGAAGCAAAAGCTGGCTTTACTCTACTCAGGAGAGACAGGAGATTCAAGTCAGCTGAGTGCTCAGGGCCTGGAATGAACTGCGGAAGCCAGCATCCCTTGAAGAGCCAAACAAGCAAAGGGAAGTGACGAGTGGAGTGGATTTAAACTTACTCCCAGCAGCACAGAATCTTGCAGAATGATGCAGCAGCAAGATCCCTTGCCAAGCAAGCTGTCTGAGTCAGCTCCTTAAGGGGTCTTAAGAGATCTAAGTAGCCTTTGGGGTCTTAAGAGGCTATGGGCAGGGGAGGGGTTAAAGGCCACAGCTGTGCCAGCGACTGAGTGAGGGTCTCACCCCAATTTACTTCAATCCTCCCTTGGTGGGCTCTGGACTGCACTTCCTTTCCAGCTCACTGGAAGCTCTGGGGGCTGCTGGGAAGCTAGTCCCTCTGGCACAGCCTCCGTACACCTACAGCCTGTGCAAAGGCTCCAGGTGGCCACCCGTCAGTAGCTTCACCTCTCAGGGACTGTGCACCCTACCCAGGTGGACAGTGCTTTCTGAACCTACCACAGGGCTACTTGTGAGGCAACCAGGGCCAGGTCCCCCTGCCACCTTACAGCCACGCAGCAAGCCTCACAGAGGGCTTGAGATCCACCTCTGGACTCCTGGGAAGATGGCCTGCAGTGCCAGAGACGCTGTCCCTTCCCTGCCCCCAGCTCATTTCCACTGATCTTTTGTGGCAGCTTAGACATCATCTCTCTCCAGAAGCTTTCCTGGACCCTTCCACTGGGCTGGGCACCCTGCCCCCACCCCATCTGCTCCCACAGAGCTTCACCATGCCGCGATGCTGCCACTGGGATCTTGACAAACCCGAGCTCTGCCCACGGTGGTGTCCCCACTGGTGGGCACTGGGTCCAACACTGGTGGACGCACGTCAGGTCTGCTCAGTGACAAATGGCTGCTCGGTGCTCCCCGGGCTAGCACAGCGGCAGTGCCCTTCTGGGTGCCAGGCGGAGGCTCTTCTCTGTCCTTGCAGGGAGGATGGTGAGCACTCGCCTCCAGCAGTTCCATTCTCAGACGCAAGGCTCTTGCCCAGCCTGACAGCTGTGGCCTAATTTCCAGGGCTATCACCGGACTCCTTATTTTTACCCACTTGGTATTTTTCATTACTGATGTGGGGGGCGGCGAGGGACTGGAGATGGGGGAGGGTGTGGACAAATGGAAGACACAAATGCTATGGGGCCGCTGTCAGGGTGCTGGGGGAGGGACAAGCCAGGCTGGAAAGGGATGGGGGTAGGGGTGGGAACAGAGATGGATCCAAGGGGGAAAAAAAAATCCCAAATCCCACTTCTTGATTTTCCTCAGTAAGCATTTTTGACAAGGTCACAAATGCACTGGCTCTATAGATTGTTGGCTCTAGACCACATTTCAGGCAGCCTTTAAAAGCCAATTCTTGGCATAGCTTCAGCAGAGCCCGAGGAGAGGGAAAACTAGGGCACTTTTATGCTCTGAGAAAACATCGGATCCAGGTCACAGCTTCCTGGCTGCCCAGAAGCGGTGGGGCACCCCTCCTCTGGGCCTGAACCTGAGCACCCCCAGCCCCGCATTTCCTTCCAAGCAGGAACTGTGAGGCTGGGTCACACACTTCTTTCTTGTCACCTGTCTTCCTGTCTCTCTAGACTGCAACCTTGGTGCAGGCAGGAACCACAGCCATCTGTCCCTATGTGCCCAGGGCTGGCATGGCGCCTGGCACACCTCAGAATGGACGTAAGGGAACCCTGGATCCCCGCCCCAGCTAGGTGATCTCTCTTTTTATAAACTCCCCAGCATTCAGCCACCTAAAATGCTCCTGTCACACCGGAAATGCCTCCTCTCGGGATGATGGAGGCTGCTGGCTCAGTGCACAGTGGGCAGTTGGGGAAAACGAGGGCTCAGTTTCCTCTTGCATTTAAGAACTCAGGAGATCCTTAAGGCCCCTCCTGGCTGCCATCTGCCTGAGACTGTCCTCATCTCTCTTCAATCATGGCCCCGTGGCAACCACCTGGGGACCCATGTCTGAAGATGGGATTGAGTGGACCCTGCTGGGAGGTGCTGGGCTATGTCCACCCCTAGTGCCACATAGCACAAGGGAAGAAGCCCTGTTCTGCCAACGCTGACACCTCTAGTCTCAGGCAAGCACAGTGCTGCTGATGGAGGGAAGCCACACAGGAGCGATTAGCTGGGAGGCCTGTGGGATTCCTCGTGTGCCGCCCACACTCCATCGGCCTGGTCCTCACTGCCTGCTCCCAGCCGGTCTCTGAGAAGGGTGCTGAGTCACAGACCTCCCTTCACCCTCCCCTGCCCCTGGAGGGATGGAGGATGTAGCTGCTGGGAGGTGAGGGAGACACTCCTTCTGCCAGCGCCGAAATGGCCCTTGTGGGGCCTACTTCCCACTTTCCGGCAGTCAGCGTTAGAACCCAGAGCACAAGGGCACGCTCATTCAGTCTCCCCCCCAGTGTCCGCTACCTTGGATTCTAATTCTGCAAGCAACTGCTTCTCTGCCTGTACCTGAAGGTGGGCACAGGACCTCCTGCACCAAAAGTGGGCACAGTTGGGTCTATTACAGTCGGGCATCACACAGCCAGGCCTTTTCTGACCACCCTGAAGGCTGTGATGAGACTCAAGCCCAGGACAGTTGCTGAAGGGTGGGGTGCTGAGAGGAGTGAGCCTCCGTGCCACTTCGCAAGTGGGCCGTGCAAGAATGGGGCTGACAGGAGCAAAGGGAGAGAACTGTGCAGGAGGGGAGAGGGAGGCCAAGTCCTGATGAGAGCGGGGGCCTGATCTATTTATCTATCCATCCATCCATCCATCCATCCATCCATCCATCCATTTCATACTCCGTAGCCCAGGCTGGCCTCGAACTTGAGGTGATCCTCCTGCCTCAGCCTCCCAACTTCTGGGATTACAGGCATGCGCCACCACACCTGGCTCACCTTTTTTAAAAAAACATGAGGTTGAGAATTAGTTTTCTGTCCTGTGCCATCTGGTGTGTGGAATGGGCAGGCCTGAACAAGTGCAGGGTCAGCAGGTGGGGAGGGGGATGCAGTGGAAGGAAGGATGCTGGGATTCCAGTCTATGTTTAATGCAGACTCTACGGCTTTCTCCCTCACCCTCCTCTAGAAAACAAGAGAAGCTGAATCAACCCCAGAACATCTGCTTTCCAAGAGGTGAGTAGAGGGAGCAGCAGAGGTGGCCAGGGAGGCCAGGCCCAGCTGTGTGACAACCCTCACGCCTCCTGGGCCTCCCTATGCTCAAAATGAGAGGAGAGAGGGCCCTGCTCCCTGGGCAGCTCCCCTCTTGGCTGCTCCTGATGATGCACAGTAGCTATGTACCAGGCTCTTTCTGTATGTTTTGTTGTTTATTCCTCACAAACAGCAGGAGGACACAGTGATGGCCCTTGCCTTCATTTTTCATTTAAGAAAACAGTGCTCAAGGCTGAGGGTGTGGCTCAGTGGCAGGGCATTTGCCTAGCATGCACAAGGCCCTGGGTTCCATCTCCGGCACTGGCAAAAATGAAACATATAATGCCTTCAAGGCCCTAAGTTCAACCCCCAGAATCCCCTTCCCTGCAAAAAGTACAGAAAGAAATAAAGAAAGGAAACTGCTCAGGAAGGCAGCCATGGGGTAGCCCTGTCTGGACTGCCTGGTGTCATGGGAAGAGCAGTCCCTTTCCCTACTCTATGTGGGATCTGTTAGGGCTGTCAGCCACTCACAGGACCCACAGTCCCAACCCTGCCACTGCCACCCCCACCAGGGATGTGTGACCTCTCTGGGACAGTCAGAGCTTCCCTGTGGACCACAACCTACAGAGATGTGAGTCACCTGAGGTGGTGGCCATGTCTCTGATTTAGAAGAGACCAAAACAACAAGGCTGACAAATTACAGTGGCACCTCAGTTTGTGAACTTAACTCGTTTTACAATTTGGGGGAAGATGGCCGTGTTTGTGTTTGTGTGGGGAAGATGGCCACGGTCATGTCTGTCACCCACTGCAGAGTTTGCAAATCGAGGTATTTCTCTGCATGGTCCTCAAGACTCTGTCCAGAGCTAAGAAATAACAATTCTGGGTTTCAGGAATTGTGCTCAGTGCCCAGCTCACTGGGAATGCTTAACAAACATCAACTGGGAACAGGCAATTCCAGGACATGGCCCCAGGAGCTTCTAAGTCCCTGAAAAAGCGTGCACGCGCACGCACACACACACACCAACAACTGCAAAGAAAAAGTGACCACCTGGACTACATTAAAAACCAATGGAGGGCCGGGGATTTAGCTCAGTGGTTCCACCACCTGCTTTGCAAGCACAAGGACCTGAGTTTGATCCCTAGTACAAAAAAAAAAAAAAAAAAAAAAAAAAATCAATGGACACCACGAAGAGTGATAATAAGGCAAACCACAGAGAAGATTATTACAATATATTCAGTGAGGAAGACCTGAATCCAACATATACAAAAAACTTCCACAAATCAGTAAGAAAAATACTGAAACTCCAATGAGAAAATAACAAAAACAGGCTTGTCACAAAGGATATCCAAAAGGCAAAGAAGCTATGAAAAGCCGTCCAACTTCATTAAGTCTTCAGGGAAATGTGAATTAAAACTACACACCTACGAGTATGGCTGAAATTGAAGACTGACAATACCAAGTGTTGAGGTGGATGTGGAGCACCTGGAACGCTCTTGCCTTCCTAATGGGAGTGGAAGTTGGTACAAGCAACTTGGACAGCATCTCCCAGACTTATGGCTGTAATATCCACTTGCCAGTCCCACAATTCCTAGCATGTACCATACAGAAATGTGTCTATGTGTAAAAATGCAAGAGAACGTTCATAGCAGCATTATTCATAATACAACCAGCCTGAAAACAACTCACATAGCCACCTATGCCTGAATGGATAAATAAATCATTGCATCTTCATAAAGTAGATTCTTCCACGGAAATGTGAACTAGGGCTACAACTAACAGAGGAATCTCACAAACACAACGTGGACCAAAAGAAGCCAGATTTGTGAAAGAGCACAAACTGTATGATTGCATGTATGGAAAGTTCAAAACCAGGTACAAGGAACCTAGGAGGAGCACTAGAAGTCAGGACAGGGTGACCTGGGAGAGGATTGGGGGTAGACAGCTGGAGGAGACAGAAGGGGCCTCCTGGGGCCAGAAATGTTTTATTTTTAGATTTGAGCACTCATTCTATGGGTGTGACAATTAGTGAAAATTAGCTGAGCCACTCATGATTTGTGTACACTACTCATTAAATTTATACTCACAAGAGGCACAGTGGCACAGAGGGAGGAAAGGCTGCCATGCCTCCCTCATCTGTGGCACTAAAACAGAAAGCACACTGTGGTTAAGACAGGGAGGTGGGTTGGGCATGGTGGTGCATGCCTGTAATTCCAGCACTCTGGGAGGGTGAGGCGGGAGGGCTGCAAGTTCAAATCTGCTTGGGCAGCTTAGTAGATCCTATCTCAAAATAAAAATTAAAAAAAAGGGTTGAGGATGTAGCTCAGTGCAAAGGCCTTGGTTTCAATTTCTAGTACCACTACCAGAAGGAGAAAAAAAAAAATGGAGGTGGCTTTACCAAAGAGATGACAAAACCAAGTTGAAATCAAGTCAAGTCTCAAGTCAGAACTCCTGGGCACACAATGGAGCCTGCAAAGCAGGTTCTCTGAAGCAGTCAGAAGGGCCAGGTGTCCTTTCTTTGCCTGGGAAGGACTGGATATGGGAGCAGCAGTCTGGGGTCAGAAGGGATTACCCAAGGCCATAAGTTTACGGATGGCCAGAGGTGAAGAGCAGACACAAGGCCAGCCGGAGCTGGGGTGGGCGACTGCAGCCCATGACCAGTGCTGGGTCGAATCGCTCCTCCTCAGGGAGTAGCCAGAGAGATGGCATCTTAGCCCTTGAGGAAGAAGCTTCCAGAAGGCAGGAGTGAGCACCCAGGCTCAACCACACCTGTGGAGGGCTAGGAAAAAACAACAGCTGCCCTGAGTTACTTGAATCTGTCTCAGCTTGGCTTCAGAACAAGCAGAGCCAACATGGAGGAGACGTGCGAGTGTGCTCAGCCAGGAGGGAATCAGATCAGCCGGAAGGCGGGGGTGAGCATGTCCTCTTGCACAAGAGTCAGAGGGAGGCTCTGACCGAGAGAGGCATTTACTGTCAAAGCGCCAGCGAGGCCTGAGGAGATAGTGGTGCAAGCAAGATGGAGACCAGAAGTGGGCTTCGACAGTGACAGGCCAAGGAGGAGGAAGGGAAGGACACACGGATCTCCTCAGTGTTCCACACTGCCGGGAGGAACCAGGCCAGGCTGACTGCTCTGCAGGGGGCTGGGTAAGGCCCTGGGGCCAGTCTCGCTGCCCTGGCCATCACTTTCCCTTCCTCACACAAGACCTGGGCGGGGGGGGGGGGGCACAGCTCGGGGGTATCGGGTGGCTGTTGAGCTGGGGCAAATGCTGTGCTGTTATAGAGACATCCAGAGTTGAGACAACAACAATGACAACAGGAACAGACCCAAAGCCTCTATCCTCGTGACTGGAAAAGCAGTAAACTTTTATGGAAAGTTCCACTGTCCACTTCAGATTCCAAGGGCCTCCTTGTGGGCTGGCCAAGCCTGGGTGGCAAGAGGCATTTGGCCTGTACAGCATCCTTCCCTGTGGTATCACGGTTCCCCCAGGCCAGGTCCCTCCAAGAGCCACCATTTCCCATGCTCCACGACGGGGCCTCTCCTATGTGGAAGGGGCAGCTGGTCTGGGGTCTTTCACAAATGCCCATGTATTGTGATTATTTGTTTGGAAACAGGGTCTTGTTATGTAGTTCAGGCTGGCCATGAACTCATTATGTGGCCCTAGTTGGCCTTGAACTTGTGGTGATCCTCCTGCCTCAGCCTCCTGAGTTGGGATCACAGGTGTGTGAGACCCCGCCCAGTTTACAAATGCCCAGACAGAAACCTTTCTGGGTATCGTTCTGAATGGGGCTTGGGCATGGGGTTTCTGTGATCTCAGTGCCTATCTGTTGAAAGCAATCACTTGAGGGCAGCCCTAAGAAGGGTGTTGAAACCATACCAGGATAAAAGGAAGCTTGTCCTAAGAAACACACTGTACAACAGATGGACAGGACACACACATGCTGTAGTTGTCTTTTCAGGAGTTGGTGAGCACTTGGAAACTATCTAAGGGTACACATTTGTCTGTCCTGGCTCAGGTGCAGGCCTATCCCAAAGTGGCAAGAGGATGGAAAGTGACTTCTAGGGGCCAATTCCAAAGCTGCTGCTACTTGTTAAAAAGATGCTGCATTATGATACAGCTTAGCTACTCGCTAATTCACCAAGCTGCCTGAGTTACCAGTGTCAAAGCTTTCCAAGTTTCCTGGCATCCTTAGGTAATGTATAAACAGTCAGATCCAGAGAGTATTGCCAGTTCCATCTGGAAACCAGGTCTGAAGCTTAGGTAGGCATTTGTTACCAAGTTCTCAGTCCCCTAAAACAGTTTGTGACAATTGCTCCTCAGCCCTGCTGGCTGCCTGAGCTATGGGCTGGGGCAGGTCAGTACCTCTCAGGTGTGTAGACTATAGAGTGTGTGCCTGAGTGGGAGGCTGGAAGGAGGCAAGGGGAGGAGAGGTGACAAGTCCAAGGCCACGTGACAAGTCCAAGGCCACGTGCCATGTGCGGGGTGAGCGGCTTTCCTATCAACCCTGTGCCTTGTCCTTTCCACAGGGGCTCCTGGACACAGTGGCAAACAGCCGGCTGCTCGGGTCACCTTGGAGGACAAGTGCTCTCCCCATGTCAAGTTCACCTGTGGCCTCTAACCTTCTACAGCCGTGCTCAAAGTGCTTGGATCCCTGAAACATGGGGGTGCTGCCCTTTGAAGCCCAGGCTCCCAGAATACACTATGCAGCGACCCGCCCCCCCCAGACCCCTCCTCCTCCTGGCCCTGGGAGAGTCTAATTAATGCCAGCCCATTGCATGTGGTTTCCATTTGCCAGAGGAAAAGATGGCCCTCTCGCCGTGGGTGCCAGTGTGCAGGACGGTGCCGGGACTGCTTGGAGTGGGCAGAGCAAAGCCAGAGCTGGCCCCAGGTCGCTCGACCCTCTTTCTACTCCTGGGTCAGCGAGGGGCAGAAGGGCTCCATCTCAGATGGTTCTGTGATGTGCTGGGATGCTGGTCACTGCCCTGGATTAGGGGATAACGGACATGCAGAATGGGTCAGGGTCTCTGAATACTGCCCCTTGCAAGGACATGTGTTCCCCTTGGAGGGTAGGACTTTTCTTCCAGGCAGTCCTTTGTGTCAGATCAGGCCTCCCTGTCACTCACAGTCCCGCAGTGTTGGCTCCAATTAGTGGACTGGAAGCCAAGGGCTGGTTGTGCAAGATGGCTTCTGCCACACCCTCCTCTTTGCTGCCTTGCACTGAAACAGAAGTGCCCTGCGCTGGGCCCCAGCGTGGGGGGAACCCAAGAGATTCACACAAGGAGCTGGGCAGACCTTAATTAAGTCAGCCAGAAGAGGAGCTTCCTCTGAGAAGAAAGGAAGACATTCCTCAGAAGAATTCCTCCAGCCCTGTTCAATGTCCTGTCTCCTTCCCTCAGCGGCGAACCCAATCGATATGGCTGCAAAATAACAAGAGGTCAAAACCTGTCGGCACTCTGGGGAGGAGTATTGTACATAGCTAAGTTAGGTGGGAATATTATATAGGCAGTCAGGCCCTCGAGAGAGTCAGTGCAGAGGACGAAAACACATTACAAGGGTGTCTAGAGGTACACCTGCTGGAGGCCAGGCCTCAGCATAAAGATGGAATGGCCAGACCTAAGATAAGTGGTAACACCCAGTCTAATGAAGTCTAGCTAGACATCAGTCACCTTGGTGGGAAACCAAGACCCCCAGACTCACCCCTTCCTGAAAAGTTCTTTCTTCTTCCATGTTCACTTGCTATGTGACTTGTTTCCCCACTGGGTCACTATTACCTAAGCGACTATACTAACAATCTTACTGATTGATCACAGCTGTAACCTACGTTGTACCCATGTGGTTGTGTTCTGTAATACTTCCCCTGAGAAGTGGGGTTCTCAGCAACCCATTTTTGGGCCCCTTCCTGCCTCTCAGGAGCTGTATCTTTCCCCCGAAATAAATATTTCCTGCTCTGAATCTCTGTTGTTCCTAGATTCATTCTTTGATTTTAGAGAACGCAAACTCGGTGCATCAGACATCTAACAGGTTGGGAGTTATAGTATTTCCCTTATATCACATTTGGAGGTCCTAATATCACTTCCTGTATCAGGAGGACCAGGGCCTCTATAAGCAGACAGACTCAGGTTGGGGAGCATTTGCCATAGTTTATTTTTATTCTGAGCTAAAGTATGCGATCCATTAAAAGGATGAGAGGAGGCGAACTGAGTAGGTCTCTCAGATGCTCTCTTGTAAGCTGGGGCCTGGGGCAATGTGTGCTTTTCTGAGATGCCCACTGAATGAGGGTGGCTGGACTTCACACTATTCTCTGCTTTGGCTTCTATTAGCCTCAGCACAGTGGGCTTTGGGGGGCTGGCCACTGGCTTGGGCTCACAAGCGGTGGCCGTGTCCCCAGGCAAAGGGACACCGGAGACTAGGAAGCTGGGAGATTCTGGGGTGTGAGGAGGAGCTGGCCTCAGGAACGGTCAGTCCAAGTGGGCTGCAGAATGGCCAAGGCCAGCAAAGTGGAATTTCCCAATTACAGCATGAAAGAGCTACTTCTCCTGTCTCCCGACATCCCCCTCTCTAGTCCCAAAATTACAAACAACTCCAGTTTCTAGTGGCTGCCCTGCCCCCCCACCACCCACCTTAACGACCAAACGACTCCCCACTCCACCTATTACCCCTCTTTCCACATAAGGGCTCTTATGTAAACCCAGGATGCTGGAGGACAGTGAAGGGCAGTAAGAGTGGGGCCACATTTGGGGAGTGAATGGGACAGGCTACCATGTCTGTCTCCATCAGGAGAGGGACAGCAGGACCAGAATGAACCAAAAGCCTTGTGCTGGGCTTCTCTGGGTTGGGGTCTCAGGAAGGAAGTCCCATGATCGCTTCTTCCTTTCCCACTTGGGCCCTGGTTCATCCTCTCCGGATGCCTGCTTCATCTTAGGGGTGCCCCCTTTCCCTGGGAGGGTGCCGGGGACTCATCCACCATCAGCTGGGCGGTCGGGTCGAAGCCCGTGCATTCACAGTACACAGTGGCTCATTAAAAATGAAAGCGTTAGCTGGCAAGTGCTCTTTGCAAGGCAGCAGGGAGGAAGAGGAGGGGAAAAAATGCACAGTTGATGGAGCCAAAGGACGCTGGCCAGAGGGCCGCGTTGGCAGGCAGCGTGGAGAGTCTTCAGACTTGCTACTTCCCAGCACAGAAGCAGGCTTGTAAAGATCACAGCTGTTGGGTTATGCCGGAGTTCATATCACAGCTTATCAAAGAGGCTGGCTTTTTCCCTCCTCTCCTTTTCTCCTGCGTATAAGTGGGGTGGTTCACGGGCAGACAAGGCCTGGGCTTGTTCTGCCAGCATTAGCATGGATGGTGGGAAGAGGCCGGAGGGTAGCAAAGCACACCAACACCTACTCCGGGCAGAGTTGGTTTAGCGGGGCTGGGAAGGGTGCTGGTGGGTGCTCTGGGCACCAGGAGAGCAGAACTGGCTCTCGGCACAGAAGGTTCACTTATCTCTCATGAGGGACTGGTTTCCCCTCCCCACAGACCACCGGGGGAGGTGAAGGCCAGGGCCGAGTCAGGAGGCTGGACAACAGCTCCCCTTCATCAGCACTGGGGCCGGAGCCCGCACGATCGTGCTTAACACAACACAGAACGACACTGTGAGCAGCTCCATTTCACGGACAAAGCAGGAAGGGCTTGGAAACAGGCGACATGCTTCCAAATGGGAGGAACTGGGGTCTGAACCCAAGCCTGACTCCAGAGGTCATGTTCTTCCTTCCTCAGGCTCTGGGGTGTGGGCAGGACTGAGGTGCCTCGTCTGCCCACTCACTGCACCCTGCTGCACACATAGCATCTTCCTGCCGTGTGTGGGCTGGGCCTCCACTCCCTGCAACCCCGAGAAGGGCCCGGAAGCATAGCAGGTCTCTGCAAGGCTGGCTGAGAGGCGAGGATTCTGGAGCCATTGGCTTCCCCAACCTCAACACATACCTAAACGTATGTCCACCATATGGGCACTGAGGTCCAGCCCGCCCTAGCCTGGCTGTGGCTCAGGAGTCCGGTTCCTACTCCTGTACTCCACATCAAGGTGCAGCCCCGAGGAAGCTGTGTGGGGAGGGGAGAGGATCCTGGGTCCTGGGGGAAATCACACATCCCCCTCAGTGCCAAGAACCCCACCAGATGTCTGTCTCCAAGACTTCTGGATGCCTCTGTCCTCCCACAGACTGCAGCGCCTCCTGGCCCCGTGCTAAACACGACTGCAGACAATGGCTCCTAATTCATCGGTCGAAGAAGATTCTCTCCCTTTCTTCTCAGGGCTCACCATTAGAGGGTGAGAGGAGCAGTGGAAGGGTTGTGAAACCGTTGGGTGCCTTCTCGCTCAGGCCTGTGCCTTCATGGAGGCAGCCTGCATGTACCACCAGCAGGCCCCTCTTTAAAGCCATTAGCAGGAAAGAAGAACATGGAACAGAGAAGCGGGACAACCCAGAGGTCTCCCCACGTAAACCCCGCCGCAAACGGGCCTCCTCTCTGCCGGATGCTGGGATGTGTACCCTGAGGTCAGGAACTGCTGGAGAAGAGCTCAGAGAAGGAAGAGGGTGGTGATGCCTCCCCACACCCCCGGGACATCCTTTTGGGGGTCCAGTCCATCAGAAGCTCCTTCTTGCTGTGGTCCTATTCTTTTTTTTTTTTTCCTCCCTTGTGTTTTGAAACAGGGTCTCACTATGTAGTTCAGGCTGGTCTTGAACTCACTACATAGCCCAGCCTGGCCTCGAACTCAAGGGAATCCTCTTGTCTTGGCCTCCCAAGAGCTGAAATTCCAGATGTGTATCTCATGCCTAGCTTCTTCTCTCTAGCCCCTCCCATTGCAGTCTTCTGGCACAATTCACAGGGCGCCCTCAATTTTCTACTCGGCCCTCGAGCTAGCCTGTGGCTCTCCTCTCCTTTGGAGACCAGATTCTGGATCAAGTCTCTAGCCACCCCTCCATTTCTGGTCCCCCACTCCTTCAGCTCCTCTTGAAGCACAGCAGTCCCTGGTGGGGCTCATCTTCCCTCACTGCCTCCTGCCAGCTCCCTATTTCTTCCCCTTCATTCTACCTCCCTCCTCTTCTGGCTCCTCCTTCCTTTCCCAACCTTCACATACTGCAGCTCCTGAAGGCTTGGCCTCAGACCACTTCCCTTCTCAGTTGGCCTCCTCGTACTCCCTAAAAATGAAAGCTCCACAGGGCAGAACCATCTGGAACACCAGGGCTGGTGTCGGTAAATATCTGTTGACTGAATGACTACAACATCAATTTCCAGATTTGCAACTTGGATCTTCCCTTTGAAGAGCCAGGTGCACCAAACTGCTTCTTCATCATCTTCTTTTTTGATGTCCCCAAAGCAATTCAAACTCAAACATGTGACCACCCTCATGTCCTGTTACTCTCTCAGGGCTCCTACTACAGGGACCAGTGCCACCATCCACCCAGCCATTCCAACCAGGGACTTGCATGTTGCTCCCGACTCGCTTCCGCCTCTCTGCCTCCAGCAACCAGTCCCAGTCAACTAGATTTCCTACAAATACGGAGTTCCTTCACTGCTTCCCACTCCTCACAAGCTGCCAGTCTCACTTAGACAACAGCCTTGAACTGTTTTTGTCAGTCTCAGCCTCCCAAACCCATTCTCTCCAGCAACACAGCAATCTTTCAGATCAGCCAAGTTGTGTCCCTCTCTGCCCATGCCCGGCCGGTGCTCCCCACTGCCCTCTGGGCTAGTGACCCCAGTCCTTGGTACAACCCACCAGGCCGGGCCAGATTCCCTTGCTCTCTGGTTTACAGCAAAATGAGCTCTCCACACGCTTTCCTGTCTTGAAGCTCCACAACTCTCCAGTCTTTGGGACCTTACTTGAGTCGTCTGCTCCCCAAGAACCCTGGACCACTTCAGGCCACCACCCTGAGGGGCTGATTTCACTGGCCAGGAGGGAGGCCCAGCCATCTTGTTTTGTACGCCTGTCTGGTAATCTAACACACAGGGCTGAGAATGAGTGCTGGCAAGCATGTGGGGCCATGTGGATGATTCTGGAAATCACCACCTGCTTTACTGGGGAGGTTGGAGAAATCTTGCCCCTGATCTAGCTGTCATTAATCTGAAGGTGACACTGGCTCACTCTTCTGATGACCCTGCTCCTTGGAGCTGAATATGAGACAAAGGGAGCCAGGCTGCTGCTGATGACAGTTCTTGAGGCCAGAGACTGACGGCGGCATTTAGGTAAGAGACATTTCACCTGAAGGGAGAAACCGTATCTCAACAAGCAAAACGATAATTCAGTTGTTTTGCGGAAATGTTTCCAATGTCCTGCCTCACGCAGGTAGCATCAGCAACCTGGTAAGCAGCTGGAACCTTCTTCATTTCTTATACGAACAGACAAGGTCAGAAAAAGGAGGCAAGAGAAGGGAAAGAGCAGATGGTTGCTTTGACACCATGTATGGTGCAAAATGCAAAGCCCTGGCTCTGTGGGGAAGAGGAGGCGCGCGCGGAGCTAACCTGATGATGAAGGGGCCTCTGACCTCTAGGAGTTTCCGTTCACTGCTGAACCTCTGCAGAAGGTTGATCATGAACTTATAAAAGTAGGAGTTCATGGTAGGAGTAGAAGGAGAACATTCTAAGCCTTTGGTACCTGCAGAGAAAGGGACAGAGCCAGAATTCATTCTGATTATGTGTCTATAAGCTGATGAAACCCATACAGAATATAAACAATTGTAAACACCTAAAAAGTCTGTGTGTGTGTGTGTGTGTGTGTGTTTGTGTAACAAAGTTAGAAAATCTTCAATCAAGGGCCACAGACTGACAGAAAAAAAGGCAAGGGCCATACCAGTGTGTAAAGCACATACAGGACGCACATTTTGCTTCCTGCAAAAATTCCTATTTAGCTACCCACTCCTCCATCCAACTCCAAACCACACAGGGAACATCTCTTATGTGTAAGACCCTGCTAGATGCTATAATATTTAGAACAAAAACAAACTTCTACTCATTAGCCCAGTAAATGAGATACGTGGGGGTCCTCTGCCCAGGTAAGGACAATGACAAGTCGAAGAGAACACAAGGGTAAGGCAGGCACATTCTCAGTGGTTAACAAAATCAGCAAACCCACGAGAGGCAGAAGCCAAATTCCTTCTCCAGTTTTATGTGAGAAAAAATACATGGTGTGTACACCCACTGAGTTAAAGACAGCAAACACCAAATAGTGCAAAGTGTTTCAATCTTCACTTAACACTTGGAAATCAAACATCCTTTCTTCCTCATCTTCAGGAAAAGATGCTCTTTTAGCATGGCACTCTGAATACCTTCAAAGCCCTGGGGTGGCTTTGTAACAGGAAATGCAATGCCTCCTCTGATACGTGTCTCAGTTGAAATCATGCTGATGACCATTACTGCCATTCCTTCAACTCACTCCCATACCATGTGCCCAGCACTGTGAGTGGAAGGAAAGGGCTGACGGGATGCTTGGATGGTCCTGGCATGGTGTATTCATACATCCCACTCATCCCTTCCTTCCTAATATGCATGCTAACCTCAAAGACAATGCTGCAACGAGGTGGTCAAGACAGCAAGGCCAGTCTGTCCAACACACTAACAGGAAATCTTTGGTAAACCAGCAGCTTTATCGAGATTTTTATCCACATACCATAAAGTTCGCCCTACCAAAGTGTATAATTCAGAGGTTTTTCAGAATAGTCATAAAGCTGTATAGCAATCACCACTAATTTTGGAATATTTTAATCCCCCTCAAAAGAAATCCTGTAAAAAAATTTTTAAAAAAAGGGCCAGGGATTTAGCTCAGCGGCGTCACTCCTGCCTCTCAAGCTCAAGGTCCTGAGTTCAATCCCTGGTACAAAAAAAAGGAAAATCCTGTACACATTAGCAGTGCCCTCCCCTCCCATTCTCCTTTGCCCCAGGCCCTGGAGACCACTGATCTAGTTTGTTTCTATGGACTTGCCCCTTCTGGACATTTCACACATATAAATGGAACCTTAGAGTATGTGGCTTCTTTCATGCAGTGTATTTTCAAGGTTCATTCTCATAATGTGCATCAGTTCTTCATTCTTAAGGGTGAATAATATTCCACTGTATGGATATACCATGTTTTGTCCATTCATCAGTTGGTAGATATTTGGTTGTTTCTACTTTTTGGTCAATATATGAATAATGCAGTTGGGAACATTCACTTGCAAGTTTTCTGTAGGCATGTTTTCATTTCTCTTGGGTATCTGCCTACGAATAAGATTGCTGGGTTATATGGCTACTCTGTATTTCACTTTTGAGGAATTGTCAGGCCCTTTTCCATAATAGCTGTACCATTTTACATTCCCACTAGCAATGCAGGAGGATTCCAATTTCTCCAAATCCTTGCCAGCATTTATTATCTGCCTTTTTGATTATAGCTGTCCTAGTGGATGGGAAGTGGTATCTCATTGTGGTTTTGATTTGCATTTCTCTAATGACTAATGATGTTGGTATGTTTACTAGCCATACGCATATCCTCTCTGGAGAGAAGCCTACTCAATTCCTTTCCTCATTTTTAAATTGGGCTATTTGTCTTATTGAGTCCTAAGGATTCCTCATGTATTGGTTACAAGTCTCTTATCAGGTATGTAATTTGTAAATATTTTCTCCCATTCTGTAGGGGTGTCTTTTTGCTTTCTTGATGGTGCTTTCTGAAGCACAAAATTTAATTATTTTATTTTGTTTTGTTTTTTGTGGTGCTGGGGATTGAACTCAGGGATTCATGCATGCTAGGCAAATGCTATACCAAGGAGCTACCCATGCAGTCTCACAAAATTTTAAATTTTAACTAAAATAACTTTTTTAAAAAAAGATACCAGTGTATCTTTTTTTTCTTGGGCTGCTCACTTCTGCCAGCCTCTCTATGGTTCCAGTGCCTTGTGGGAGTCATGTAGCCCTCCCTGCACTGGGGAAGGGGGAACAGGCACCAACGCAAGGTAAGCAGGATGTGAGCTCTCTGAGGGTCAAGTGAGGCTGTGAGAGGTCATCTCAGGTGCCAGAAGCCCTGGCCTAGTGTCTGACAGAACAATGTGAGGGACGGTCCAGAGCCTTGTAAGCGAGTCTCACAGAGGTGCCCCTGGGGTTGACTGTCAGACACCAGTGGCCAGACAATGGCAGCGAGATGTTCCTCCTAGGAGTTCTGGCTTTTGAGCTGGACTCAGATGTCCCTCAAATTCGCTTCTGGTCCTTGTAGGGAAGTGGCTGGAAACTAGAGGAAGTGTTTCTCTGACTGGTTTCTCTCAGCTGCGGGTTACTCTATGAGGATTCCTCACCAGGTGCCACATGTCCGAACCCTGCTGTCCTCATCCCTGAGACCCTCCTAGGCAGCCCGGTGAATCTGAAGTGAGGAGCCCAGTCAGGGGCAGGCCTCATTTAGCTTCCTCCTGTTTGGACTCTATCCTGGGACTGCCCAGGGTGGTGTGGCTGCGGAGTCTGACTGACTCTGAAATGGCTGTTTGCACAATCAAGTGTCACAGTCTCAAAGGCCCAGCTGGGGCGGATCTCTGAAGAGGTGGCTGCAGGTACAAATGTCGAGGCAGCCCCACTGCATCCTCATCTTCAGAGATAAATTCGGAGGCCTAGTGCTGGCCTGGCTGGGGGACACAGGCTCCCCTTGCCCCCTGCAGATACATGAGGACTGTGGCCCAGTTAACTTCAGGGTCCTCCTAGGAGCACACTTGTAAAGGTTCCTTGTGTCCCTGACCCCTTCCTGCTTTTCTGTGTGCACCCCTTGCCCATCCCATTTTCAAATCTAGGATATTTGGGCTCCAAAGTGTTTCAAAGGACAAGGCGGGGGGGAGGGAAGGAGATACAAAAAGAATGAAGGTGTGTCTATGTACATGTACCAACTCCCCATGATCAATGTAATCAGATGTACTGCAAACCTGTACTAATAAAAATAAAACCTAAAGAAAGAGAAAAAGAACAAAGCGAGCAATACGGGGAGTAATAATGAAAAAAATCCTCCTTGGCTGGGACCATCTATTTCTAAGGATCCGGTGCTCAAGCAGGCAGTGGGGTTCTAGCCTAATAGGGCAGTAGGAAGCTTTGAGTGTGGCCCATTTCCTTACCTGTAAGTGGGGGAACTAAGAGCTCCTCATGAATGAGACAAAATGTGCAATGTATTGGGCCTGGGGGCTGCCACACAGCCTGTGAAAAATGGGGGCTGCTTCTCCTGCAAGGGGAAGACTGCTCTCATTTGAGGCTTGGGCTGAGGGATTGTCTGGAAATGTGTGAGTGGGGAGACTTGAGATCTTGGACAAATTCAGAATGTTCTACTGGGATGAGGTGTCCCTGTACCCCCCGGCCCCCAATCATACACCTAGGAGGGAGACCAGAACCCCCTTCAGCTGACACACTGGCTGAGGATGGCAGGAGGGAAGGCCTGGGGGATGCTCTGCACACATCTCCAGTTTCCTCAGCTCCCACTCTGGGCCAAAAATTATGGCCTCTCAAGTCCAGGCTGTACGGTGGCCCTTAGGGGAAGGAGGAGAAGGCAGAATCACCTGTGGAGAAGCCCTGTTAAGTGATTCACATCCTCACAGTACAATGGCCATGGGGAAAGCTTGTGTAGTCAGCCCTGCAATGCTCCTGCTGTCTAAAGACAACAAACAGTAAGCAGCTGGCCACTCCCTGACTATGGCACGTGCCTTCCCTGACCTGAGGCTGACAGAAAGCCAGGGTGTGATGGGAGCTCCAGGGGAGTAGTGACCAAAAGCAGGACCTACCATCCTGCAGGATCCCACCTGCTAGACAGACCAGAGCCTGAAGAGGAGATGCTGCCTGTATGGCTTATATGCAGATGTCCTCCCACAGCCTCAGGCACTTACAGGTGTGGCTTTTCAGAGATGGCTGGATCATGTGATACTGGGATTAAGGGCATGTGGCATTGGATTAACTCATGGATGGCTTTAGCGTAGTCCTGGGTGTGGATAATAGGAAGCCCCACTCTGAGTGTGGGGGGCACCACCCAAAGGGCTTGTAGCCTGGATGGGATAAAAGGGAAAGGGAGGGGCAGGGGATTTAGCTCAGTGGTTCCGGTGCTTGCCTCGAAGGCGAAAGGTCTCAAGTTTAACCCAAGAAAAAAAAAAAAAAAAAAAAAAAAGGGAAAAGGGAGGCTTGCTGTTGCTGCTTGCTGTTTTGATGTCCCTCTGCCATGCTACCCTGCTTGGAGCCAACCAACTATGGAGTGAAACCTCTACAAATTGAACTGAAATAAACCTTTCCTTCTTTAACTTGTGGGTGCTGAGTATTTTGTCTCAGCAATGAGAAAAGTAACTAAGGACAGGGTTGGGGGTCCTTTAGCAGCAGGAGAAGGTGGGGGGCAGGATGAGGAGGAGGGCTGTCACAGTGCTTGTCAGGGACAGAGTGAGGCCCTGTGGAACCTCTCCCAGCCTCAGTTTCCCCTGTGCTCAACTACTTCTCAGATCTTGGCAGCCTTTAGGCCTAGCTGGGTTGAGATGGAACCTGAGAAAAGAGGTTCTCTGCCAGGGCTTCGGGCATAGGAGGAGCAGATGAAGTGGAGACAGAACTGGTCCCCGGAGGGTGACTCCAGCAACAAAAGCCTCAGAACAGCGCTGGATTCCGCTTCCCCACAGCCCGCTCCTCCTG